TGCCCTATAGCAAAAACCCCTCCAAAAAAAAAAAAAAAGAAAAAGAAAAAGAAAAAGAAAGACTATGCTGTAATTTATTATTATTATTTTTAGATTTTTTTTTTTCTATCGGTAGTGTGTGTTTGCCTGAGAAAGAGAGAGGGAAAGTGAGAAATCACCTCCCCGGGGGGATGGCCACACCAAATCTCCTGTCCTCCATTCTCTCAGGGTTTTGGATAGGCATACACTCATGCCTGCTCTGATTTTCCAGTCACTGGATCTAGGACTTGAACCATGGTCAGCCATGTAGGAATCCAGTGCCTTAACCTCACCTGCTGGCCCCTGGGTTTGTGATTTGTTATCCCACCTCTACACTGCTCCCAGAAGCAGTTAGGGTATAATAGTTGAGAGTATATGTCTTGGGGTCAGATAGATGCAGAAACTAGGTTTACATTCTGGCTTGGAGTTTCATAGCTGAGTTGCTTGGCTCTATTTCCTTATCTGTAAGATGGGCATAATAACAGTGGGTCCTCGCAGGGTACTCAGAAGAATTAAATAACATCATGTATTTGAAGTGTTCCACACCATGCGGGGATTGAGTGAAGTGTTAAGTGGTTGAAGCTTCCTTCATCGTGCAGCTGTCACTATTGCATCTTCAGTTCCATGGATATTTGGGGGGGGAGGTGCAGTGATCTGAAGCCAGACTACTCAGTGGGCACCATCTCTCCCCGGTCTCCACAGGGCAGCAGCAGGGCGTGACCATCCCCCCTGGGGGGTGATTTCTCGCTTTCTGTCTCTATGTCTCTCTCTGTCTGTCTGGCGAGTGCATGCGCCCTATAGCGAAAAACTTCTCCAGAAAAAAAAAAAAAAAAAGAAAAAGAAAAAGAAAGACTATGCTGTAATTTATTATTATTATTTTTAGATTTTTTTTTTTTCTATCGGTAGTGTGTGTTTGCCTGAGAAAGAGAGAGGGAAAGTGAGAAATCACCTCCCCGGGGGGATGGCCACACCAAATCTCCTGTCCTCCATTCTCTCAGGGTTTTGGATAGGCATACACTCATGCCTGCTCTGATTTTCCAGTCACTGGATCTAGGACTTGAACCATGGTCAGCCATGTAGGAATCCAGTGCCTTAACCTCACCTGCTGGCCCCTGGGTTTGTGATTTGTTATCCCACCTCTACACTGCTCCCAGAAGCAGTTAGGGTATAATAGTTGAGAGTATATGTTTTGGGGTCAGATAGATGCAGAAACTAGGTTTACATTCTGGCTTGGAGTTTCATAGCTGAGTTGCTTGGCTCTATTTCCTTATCTGTAAGATGGGCATAATAACAGTGGGTCCTCGCAGGGTACTCAGAAGAATTAAATAACATCATGTATTTGAAGTGTTCCACACCATGCGGGGATTGAGTGAAGTGTTAAGTGGTTGAAGCTTCCTTCATCGTGCAGCTGTCACTATTGCATCTTCAGTTCCATGGATATTTGGGGGGGGAGGTGCAGTGATCTGAAGCCAGACTACTCAGTGGGCACCATCTCTCCCCGGTCTCCACAGGGCAGCAGCAGCTCAGACTCTCTGGAGGGCCAGAGCTGCGACTATGCCAGCAAGAGTTATGACGCCGTTGTCTTCGATGTCCTGAAGGTGACTCCAGAGGAGTTTGCTGTAAGTGACGCACAACTGACATGGGTGGCTGGGCTCATGACAGGGTGCTCAAGGAACTGCTGCTTGGGCTCCATGCTCAGGTGTAACTTCCTGTATTCCCAACCCAAGGGGAGGGCTGAGAGAAGGATGGTGTGTCCTCGTAAGCATTGAAAAGGGTGTTGTCAGTCTAGACACTAGCCCCTTGGAAGGCATGTACAATTCGAGGGGTCTTTAGAAAGAGCATGGAAAATGTGTATTATGAAAAACTACAGGGATTTCAAGAAGTTTTGCACCAAAATGAACTCATACTTTACGGAAAAAAAGAAAGAAAATATGAACCAAAGATTTTATATCCAGCAAAACTGACTTTAAAGTATGAAGGACATGAGCTATTGTGAACATATACTCAGAGAACCTTAATTCTAGGAACACTTCCTGAGGAACCTATTAGGGAACAAGATTCAGACGATGACAATGACTAGGGAAATATTCCTATAATGACTGGTAGAAGCAGTAAACATACAGTTACTAGGACCAATTGAGGTTTAAATGGAATAGTGTGTAATAACTGTAAGCCCAGATGGTAGATATAGTATCACTGTCATAGTATAAACTATTTTTTTTAAATGAGACTATGGAGAAAACATAGGAAAAATTTCATAACTTTTTGATTTATGATTTATGTTCGATTATTATGCATCTCTATAGCACACCATATGGTTAGTATTGTTATTCTGAAACTGTTATGCATGTAAAGAAGTATAAAGCAAATGAATAAGCTATGGGATTCTGTAATATTGCTATACTTTGTGTCCTTGAGACCAGGAGTTTGATATAGAAGAAAGGAGATACAGATGTATTATAGAAGAGGTCAAGTAAATATATATATAAAAAAAATAATAGTTTACCCAGAATACATCTTTAGTACTGGCCATTTTGGGAGATGTTTTCAGCTTCTTGGTGTGTGTGTGCTTTGTGGTTTTTCTTCTTTTTCTTTCTTTCTTTTTTAAATTTTGATGTGTCTTTTAATATGTCATTTTCATTTTAAAAATTTCATTAACATTTTTTAAAAATTACAGTTTTGGGACCTGCAGTTGGTGTAATGGTTATGTCGATGGACTCCCATGTAGTCAACTGTGGTTTGAGTCCTAGACCCTGTGGCTTAAACTCATGTCGGGCACGTGTGCATGCGTGCCCAAGATCCCGAGAGGAGAATGGAAGAGAAGCGATTGTGGCGTGGCCATGCCCCTTAGAGGGTAATTTCTCGCTTTCTGTCTCTCTGTCTCTCTCTCTCTTTCTGATGAGTGCACAGGCCCTATAGCAAAAACTTCTTGAAAAAAAAATGACAGTTTTACTATTTGTTCAGTTATCTTGCCTTTTTATTCCCCCATTTTAGGGATTTCTAGTATTTGTATGTTGGATCTTCTTTGCCTATCATCGGTATTTGTTAGCTTTTCTCAAAGTCTTATTGTCTTTTTCTTCTTTTATTTTATTTCATTTTTATTTTAAGGTTTTTGTCATAGGGTGCAGGTGCTCGCTGGAGAGAGACAGTGAGAGGGAAAGTGAGAAATCACCCTCCCCCTAGGGGGGATGGCCACACCATGTGGGGGACCAGCCTCAGCGGGGGTGGGTTGACTCGTCGGAGGCAGCTCTGGAAAGGAAGACTAAGGCCTCAGTGCCTTTTCGTGCATGTCCTGAGTCGGACACTCCTCAGAGATCACTCTGTAGAGATCATCATGCTTTTTTATTGAAAATGTGGTACATGCAAGTAAACAGGTGAGGGGTTACGTGTTCTAATTATCAATTCATAAAGTTTTAACAATAGAGATCATTTAGAATGTGATTAAGGGCAAGTCTATTAATCATCGATACAGTTCAACAATTGTTTGATTGATATAAGCAGGCTTTTGGGAACTTCTGGGGGTGCAGTTCCGGAAAACAGTTCCAGCAAGCGGAGTTGATTATCAGCTGATGTTCAGCAGCAGCCGTCTTGTGATTACTAAAAGAAAAATCTCAAGTATATAGGTATTAGTTCTTATGGATCTCAATAAAGAATAATACTTATGTAATTCTATAGGGATCTAAGATTTAATTAAAGGAATCTTAATATATCTCTTTTAAGGGGATGAGCCTACTGTTCACTTGGTGAGAATAAGGGGATACTTTGAACAGCTTCTCCAACTAGCAATACCAGTTTTTCTTAAGTCAAAAGTAAAATGACTAGCAAGTTAATGAAAAACTTTAAAATGGGTTTATGGTGTTGTGGATTCACTTGTGTAGCCTATGGCACCACTGTTATGTATTTTGTTAGAACATTAGCTACCATGGGGCAAGAGTGTCCTGGGCCAGTTTCGGCCTAGTCCTATTGTATGTAAAAAGGTTATTTATATTAAATGTGTCTTGAAGGGCCTTCCAAAGGTCAAGAAGAACTTCAGCACACCCTCCATTGTGACCGCAGGGATGAAGCGTTGTAATTAACAGTAGGTGGTCAGGGTAAAGGGGAGCGGTTGGGAAACTTTCGGGAAATCTTACCACACACTCAAGATGTATGAGAGCTATGTAATTCTTTTATAGTAGTATATCAGGGAGTCGGGGGGGGGGTGTCACTTCTCAGCAAGGCTACCGCAGTTTGTGGAGCATACAGCAAGCAACCTTACCAACATGCTGAATCGACCCAAGCTTTGCTTCTAGGTGTGTGTGTGTGGGCGGGTGTACAACAGCGGCCTTGCCAACATACTGAGCCGACCAAGGCTGTGCTCAAAGGTCAAAGGCTCAAAACAGATCCTGGGGCCCCCTGGGTCGGACTCCTCCAATCTCCTTCTGGGATTTTGGGCATGCATGCACACATGCCTGGCATAATTTTCAAGCCACGAGGTCCAGGACTTGAAATGCTATTGGCTATGTGGGAGTCCAGCACCTTAACCACAACATTACCTGCTGACCCCATCTTCACTTATTTTGATACTAAGTTTCCTCCCTTAAGGTATTTTCTGTTGCATCTATCAACTCTTATGTCCCTTATAGTTCAATTTTTATTTCCAAAACTTTTCTCTTACTTTCAATTTTTTCCCTAAGTTCTGACACCTCATTTCTGAACTTTTCTGTTTCCCATTTCTGTTGGTCATGTCTTATGGCTAAGAAATCATTTTTAAACAATCTAAATGTCTCTTAGCTCGTTTAAAAATAAGTAGTTGCAGTTTTCATCTGTTCTATGGTATGCCTTTTTTTTTTTTTGGCATGCTTTCACTGTCTATATGCAGATTCTTTTTTTCTTACAATAACTTTGAATGAGATTTGACAACAGTAACTTCCTATTGCTTATTATTATTTTTATTTTGGTAAAGTTAGTTTTCCTGAACTTTCAGAGGGAACATGGTTCAGGGTATGCTTTCTGAATTTTAAACATGGCTTCTAGAAATTAAAAGTGCACGCTAGGTTCATGGCCTGGTGGTCAAGGGAGCTGGATTCTTCATGGCCAACCATGTGCAATGATCGAGATGCAAATATAAGATATCCTCTGTCCTAAGACACATCAATCATTTGCCAGAATTACTATTTTTTTTTCCAGGGTGGGGTAGGGATTCCTGGGAGACCCTTATGCTAAGGCTGTTGCTGACAAGAGATTCAGTGAGCCACTGTTAGAAGAGAGAAATACTGTGTTTAACATATGAGAAAAACCTTTATTTTTTTTAAATTTTTTACTTTTTGGCTAGCTGGCTAGCTTTCATCTGTCCACATACTGCCAGTTTTCCTTAAGGCCACGTTGCGAAATGTTGTAATAGATCTCTCTGGTCCATAGGAGTCATCTCTACAGAGAGATTTTATAACGTGTGGACATCGGCCATTGTCCTTAACAAGCCTGGAGTTTTAGGGCCCAGGCCTAGGAGGAAGGAGGAGATGAGAGAAGGAGGAGGCTTTATTTCTCAAAATAAGGATAAGTCATTACAAGGCTTGTCCGTGAGTGTTCTAGTGCACCACCCACTCCCCCAGCCTCCTAGCACAGATTTGCTGCTTGGAAACAAGTGGGGGGGGCTTGTTGCCTCATGTCTCTGTGGGGGCTGTAAGTGCTCTCCAGGGACTAGGGCACCTCTCCTGGGGGAGGGGTGGTGTTTGGTGAAGGTGAAGTGTGACAGGACCTGGCCACCTTCCTCAAGCCCCACCTTTACCCACCTCCTCTACTTTTGGTAAAACTGACTGCCCATGGAGTGTTCAAACTTCCGGGGAAGAATTTTTTACTTTTTGGCTAGCTGGCTAGCTTTCATCTGTCCACATACTGCCAGTTTTCCTTAAGGCCACGTTGCGAAATGTTGTAATAGATCTCTCTGGTCCATAGGAGTCATCTCTACAGAGAGATTTTATAACGTGTGGACATCGGCCATTGTCCTTAACAAGCCTGGAGTTTTAGGGCCCAGGCCTAGGAGGAAGGAGGAGATGAGAGAAGGAGGAGGCTTTATTTCTCAAAATAAGGATAAGTCATTACAAGGCTTGTCCGTGAGTGTTCTAGTGCACCACCCACTCCCCCAGCCTCCTAGCACAGATTTGCTGCTTGGAAACAAGTGGGGGGCTTGTTGCCTCATGTCTCTGTGGGGGCTGTAAGTGCTCTCCAGGGACTAGGGCACCTCTCCTGGGGGAGGGGTGGTGTTTGGTGAAGGTGAAGTGTGACAGGACCTGGCCACCTTCCTCAAGCCCCACCTTTACCCACCTCCTCTACTTTTGGTAAAACTGACTGCCCATGGAGTGTTCAAACTTCCGGGGAAGAATTGCTCATCAGTCGCCTCGGTAATGCGTGCTGGCTTGCAGCCAAGTGGCATGAAGTTTGTCTGTTGATTTTTACCCAAATATTTTGTATCTAGGTGTTCTCGCTCTGGACAGGGCATCTCTTTTGGTCAGAGTTGAGAGGTTAGAAATGGGAGAGGGCCCACAGATGGCATAGTGGTTAAGGTGCTGGACTCCCATGTGACCAGCTGTGGTTTGAGTCCCGGACATGGCTTGAAACACATGCCAGGCACACATGTGTATGTGCCCAAAATCCCAGGGAGAGAATGGAGGAGAAGGGATTACATTATGGCCATTGCCCCTGGAGGGTAGTTTCTTGCTTTCTGTCTCTCTGGCAAGTGCACACGCCCTACAGCAACAATCTTTCATTAAAAAAAAAAAGGGAAGAAAGAAAGGGAGAGATGTTTTTGAAAATCCTAATTATGTATTTGGGACCAACTAGTCTATTTTTAGTCTGGTGACTTCTGTTGTTTATTTTGAATAAAACACCTGAACATGTGTTCTGGCTTATGGGCCGAGCAGAGATCAGAATGTTTGAAAATTGGGCCATCTGAAAAATACGAACTGTAAAGCCACCATTTTAATAAATCATTTGGAAATCCAGTAGCAAATCCTCGAACCGATGGCAGGACAGAAAGGAAGTGTTCTCATGTTCACATTGGCAGACTTTCGGTTCTCTTCCTAAATGACATTGCAAACATCCTGCCGGTTCTCCTGGACAGGGAGTTCACTACAACTGCAGGAGAGAGTTCCAAGGCCCTCTGAGCTTTCCACCCAGATCTCTTGTTTTTATAAGGCCTTTCTGTTCCCCAGGATGGCAGAATTGATCCACATGTGAGGAGCACTTGGCTGGCAGTCTTGATAAGCCTGGCAGGAGAAGTGCCAGTCCGTTTGCACCACTCAGGACAAAGCTCTGGCCCATGCAGCTCCAGGCCAGGCACAGGCCTAGAGACCGTCAGGGCTTACTAGCCTCTAGACACCTGGGTTCCCAGGGCCAGAGCCATGTTATGCTGATGTCAGATGCCTCCTGGCCACCATCTTTGAGCAGGGCTTCGCCAAGCGGCAGACTCGCACCCCTGTGTCCGGGAGGAGCACTGCTCCCTGGAGGGAACGAAGGGCTCTGTACTGAAGCCCCCTGCTCGTTTTCCAGCCCCGCTCGCCTTGAGGAGGCTGTGCTCTGTTCTTCACTTGGCCCTCCTAACCCGGGCTGTGGTCACAGGTAACACACTGTGAGTACTGCCATCTTTCTCCAGTTGCTCTTGACCTGAGACGTGCTGCTGGCTCAGTGTAACAGCCCCTTTGATTTTCTTAAGAGCAACTTCAGTGTGTGGATTGCGCCCACATGAGTGGTCACCTATTTCCTAGCTTATGTATTGGTCAGGAACCAAACATTCATGTGCCAGTATGTGGGCCCATCTGTGTGTGTGGCTTCCCTTCGCCTAACACACACACACACACACACACACACACACACACACACACACACACACACACACACACCCACCCACACACACCCCCACACAGCCGGCATCAGTTTCAAGCTACTGGGTTTGGGACTAGAATCATGATCAGTTATGTGGGAATCCAGTGCCTTAACCACTATACCACCTGCTGGCTCCCAATAGGGG